TTTAGGGTTTAGGCGACGAGGGGGAACGTCTGCAACCGCCAATAACCGCTGCCCATTCATGTGAAGGTCCACGCCTAAACCGTAAACTCTAAGGATGTCATGTTTTTCGTCAAACGGTTGGACGATGCACGGTGTTGTTGTGTAGTTAGGCAGTTCAGATGGTGCAGTTGCCAGGTGTAAGGGACTGTGGTCATTGTTTTATTCATGGCTATGGTGGTGGTATGCAGCACAATAGGGGTGCACTGAATGGATCTGCAATAAGCCCGCCATGTATGCAGGCTGCACGGGATTCTTGCGCAATCGTTTACGGCACAATGAGTGGTTGGGTACCGCACATGCTCCATTGTAACTCCCTCACCCAGTCATAGCGCAACGCACTGGTATTGAACTTGATAAATCATCAAGAATATCTTCCTTGAAGCCTTCATGGCAAGTTCGACCAGAAGCATGTGCATGGTGCCTGCCAGGGCAGCGGGCTGGAGGCTGCTGAATGACTGAAGTCGTCGTTTGCCAGGTGAGTCGGGCTAGGGAGCATGGCGTGGTGGCACCTTCACTTTGATAATCTCGATAATTCTCACCTACTTGTTATTCATATACGGTAGTGGCTTCAGTTGCCTGCTTTCGGAAAGCTCGAGCTGATCTCACGTCATAATTTCGCGAACAAGCTCAGAGCCATAGGCTTGCAAGCCGAGGCGGAGGCTGTCGACTTGATAGCAATACAGTACTGAGTCATGACACCGTCCGGCAGGCCGTCTTCTGGCAAACGCCTGCTTGCTTGCTGTGCACCTGCTGCTGCGCCATCGTCCCGCGTCGCAGTGATGCTGACAGCAGTTGTTGCGCTGACACTCGTCGTGGAACCTGCAGGTGCGGTCCTCTGCAGTTGTGTACATTGCAAGGCAGGCAGACGCGGCACCCGGATCCTGCTCCTGCCCCTGCTGACTCTGCACGCGTGCCCAATCACGGCTGCCAATCCCCAGGTGCACTGCAGTGGTCGTTTGGTCGCCATGTGGTGCAGCCGGCGCCTCCCACTGATTCTGGCGGCCTTGGAAACAGCCAGGCCAGAGCCAGGGTTCCGAGCCATGGCCCTTTGGTGCTGCCGCCGCTTGACCGCACCAACGTGCTGCCGCCGGTCGAGCAGGCCAAGGAGGCGTTTGTCCGTCAGCATCCTGAGTACGGCTACAGGTGAGCAGCGACCGCCTCGACCTGGGCACGTTGCCAAGGGTGACTTGCACGCAATTTGGCCCTTCCAAATGGGTCACTTAGAATACAATTTAGCCTTCTCGATAAACGCCCTCAGGGACGGTCACACAGAGCGCAATGCATCGCATCAGTTGCACGATATCATAATGCATCACATCAGTTGCGCCGGACGAAGGAAAGATTATGAAGGGTGTCAGCACCATGTGCATAGCTTTGTGCAATATGCTACAACTCGGTTTGATGCACACCGCGTGTGGACGCATACTCCTCCTTCAACACTGTGAAACGACACCACCGCCTGGTGCAGGGGCTGGCTGGATGCCAACTGGGGACATGAAGTGGGCGTGCGCATGCCCCCTGGCAGTCACTATGTTGACTTCACAGCCTCTGGTCTTTATACCAACGGACAGCTGGCAGCCGCCACACAAGAGCTGGCAACTCATGTATACGGTTTGTGTCTGGGGTCCTCCATCCGCCTGTGGTTTGACCTGACAACGGCCTGCCCATGCTCTTGACCCCCACCCGACCACACCCGCACAGCCAGCCACGTCTAAAATGCGCATGATGCATCAAGACGTGCCCGCCTCCATTGTATGATGGCGCACATGCACCTGCCACCGTCCCCGGCCTCAACCTGCAGGCAACCCCCACTGCACCAGTCCCAGCAGCTTGTTAGTGGATAAGGAAATGAGCGAAGCCCGCAGCTTGGTCCTAAAGCACTTCAATGCAGATCCGCAAGAGTATGCAGTCGTCTTTACAAGGTGTGTATGTGGGCTATAGCCCCAATCATGGACACGCTCACGGTTGCAATGCTTTGTGCTTCCCAATCTCCTTCGCA